GACAAAGGGAGCAGTGCCCGAGTGTGCCAGCAGAGGGCGACACAGCCCTGCCGCTCTGCTAGGCAGCGAGGCCCACAGCTCTCGCTTGGCCTGGCCCTCATGGCCAGGGAGAGATGGGTGCCTCCAGGCTGGGGCCTGGAAGTGGGAGGGAGCTTATCCCCTCAGGGGAACGCGATGCATGTGCGGCAGGAGGCCAAGCCCGAGCCGTGGAGTGGGGTGGACGTGGCCAAGGAGGGCCCGAGTGTGCAAGAAGGGCCTGGATGTGCAAGAAAGACGAGTGTGCAAGGACCCGGGTGTGCAAGAAGGACCCGGGTGTGCGAGGGCAAGAGGCGCAGCAGAGGCGGAGAGGCCCTGTCGCATCTCTGGGCTGCCTGAGAGGTTGAGATCGGCTGCTGCAGGGCGGTGGTTACTCACTTAGGCTCCGCCACCTGCTTCCCTCCCAGCTCCCAGTGAAACACAAGGCAGAGTCCCCATGTCCACCCACACCCTGCTCGCGGCGGCTCCGCCTCCAGGAGGGAGCCTGCCTCTGCAATTCAGCCGTCAGCCTCTCAGCCCTAGGGTGGGCGAGGGTGGTGAGGGCGATGCCCAGCTGACTCTCCTGGGGTGTCGCCTCTTTATTCCATCCCACTTTAACCAAGTCCAGAACTTGCATGTCAGCCCTGCAGTCTCTCCCGCAGCTGCTGGGGCGCAAACCTCCGGCACCAGCCCGAGTCTGATTTCTTTCTCCCAGCGCGCGTTAATTGTTGATCTACAGATGAGCCCCGCTGGCTGCATCCAGACCTCCTGCAGGTCCCGCAGATAGGTTGTGACCACCAAGCATCCAACTGGATGGAGATGCCGGTGTCTCCAAAGGCATCCTAGCCTCCCGAGAGCTTCATCCAATCTGTGAGAGAGGAGGGTTCTGGGCCAGTGGGAGGCATAGGTCCCCTGGTGCCCCACTTCCCAGGGCAGATACCCCACTAGTTCCGTCAGTATTTACAGTTCACGGTGTTGGTGGGAATGGGTTCAGAGACCTAGTGCAATCTACATTTAACACCTATCAATACATCCTTACATAATGTGTTTTTTTTTTTTCTTGATTTTGATTTTTTTTTTCCCCTTGCTTTCTGAGACAGGGTCTCAACATGCATCCCAGGCTGATCTCAAACTGGAGATCCTCCTGCCCCAGCCTCTGGAGTGACGGGATTGCTGTACGTGGCCCTGCTCTTTCTCCTTCTCCTCCCCACCCCCATCCTCAGGGATCTTCCTACCTCGCCCAAGCTGACTGTAAACTTCCCGGCTCCTGTGCGGGCCTCCCAAGAAGCTGGAGTGGCAGGTGCCCACTGCTCTGCTCAGCCTTGGAGTGCCTTGAGAAACACTAACACCCTGGTTCTACCCAGAGCGCCTGGACCAGAACGGCAAAGCAAGGGGAGGGGGAGGGGCCCACGAGTGCTGTCAGATGCCACCCGCTGCGCTTTACCCACCAGGCTGGTGCTTGTTTGACCAGAGAAAGCAGGGCTGGAGCTGACCTTCCATAAAAGAGGCATCTGGAGGGTTCCAGACAGTACTGTGCTTGCTGTGTAGGTAGGGGCTGTCCCCCCAAGAGCTTGCTGAGTGGACCTGAGAAGTCTTGTGAGACTCGGGGGAAAGAGACTCAAAGGCAACATTTGTATCGCTTTTACTTTTGGTACAAATGTATGCGTGTTCTCTTTTGAAGGGCCAGCTTCCTGGAGGGAAAACTGTCCAGAGGGGAGGTCTCCCCAGGGTAGAAATTCCAGTGTCTGGCAGGTCGGCAAGCATAGCTCCTCCTGCCGGGTGAAGTTTGGGAACTCCCAGCCCCCAGTTCTGTTGGTGGAAATCAGGTACGTTCAGGGTCCTGGGTTTACTATCCGCTCCTCCACGGGGACAGAGCTCCCTCTGATCTCTACCCTTGGGTCTCCCACTCAGTGCCAGGCCCTGAGCGAGCAGGAAGCAGGGGTGGATGGAGCAGGAGTCTCTCCCTTGGTAGCCTGTGGGCTGAGACACAAGGAGGGGCAATGGGAACCAGACAGGAGACGTCAGAGTGATTCCATGAAAGACCAGCGGACAAGGAAGGCGCCGGATTCTTGGAGTGTGGAGCAGGACAGTGTGTGGGGGGGGAGTGGGGGGGTAGGAGGGGACGCTGGGTGGGCAGGGCCCAGAGGTGCAGTACTCCGAGGTCACCACCAGAGATCAGCACCGTGCCGTGTGCCCGCAGTGTCTCACCTCGGTCTCCCTGTTCAAGAGCTCTGTCGCCTCTCCGAGGGCATCATTTCCTCTTTAAGGTCATTTCATCCACTCCTTCCTCTACGCAGGACCAGGCAGCCTCCAGCCAGACAAAACTTGACGTCTCTCTTGACCCTGGGGAATCCCGTATGGCTCTCATCTCTCTAGCTCCACCCCCGCCGTCTGGTGGGCAGAAAGCACCTCCTAGGTCTCTGCCTCTGCTCTGGCTGCCACCCTTCTTAAGTCCTCTGGGGGAACCTGAAGCACTGAAAAATTCTTCTTCAGCAGAATTTTTCACAGGTGCCAACAAAGACCCTTTCCATACCCAAGGCCCTTTTATGCGCCCCCGGACCGCGTTTTCAGAGCCCACCCCTCTTCCCCACCTTAATGGGAGTGTTCTCATTGACGTCGAACTTGGGTCCCTCTTAACTGGGTCCTTCTGTGACCCGGCCCATCTCGGACCCCGCTCTGCCAAGTCTCACCTTCTGTTTGCCCCACCCCCACCCCTCCTCCACCCACAGTTTTACAGGCTCGTCCCAGTCCTCGCCAGCTCTTTGACGACGCTGACCTCATAGGCCCCTCCTCCAGGAAGCCGCCCCTCTCGGGGCCCAAGGTGTGTGTGTGTGGGGGGGCAGGACCAGGAGATACAGGGATGAGTTATGCAGGGGAAGATGGGGCAGGTGCCCAGCTCTGTGGGGACCTCGGACAGAATCTCATCTCAGGGGCTGTATCTTTTCCCACCGTGTGTGACACCTTCAGTGGAGCCCACTTTCCTCCGCGGAATTTCACGGGGGGGGGCGGGGGCAGCGGGGGGCGGGGCTCCTGGCCTGGGGCAGAACAGAAGGCTGGTAGGAAGGGGAAGGAGGCAGGGCAGGGAATGCCCACCACACAATATTGCAGTCCCTGCTCCTTCCCCGCACACCCCCACCCCCTCCGCCAAACACGATCCCTGGGTTAATTTTTAGCAACACAGCTCGCACATTAGTCACTCCCTGTCACCCACCTACACGGCAGGAGGCTGGTGCCGTCATCCATCAGCTGAGAGGTGGGATCTGGCCCCACCCTGGGCCACTCTCCCCCTCTCCTGGGTGTACGAGACCAGCTGGGTAGGAGCCCTTTCAGCCTGGGCGAGGGGCACTGACATCACTCCCGGGACCAGCTGCACGGCAGGGCAGGGCGGTAGGGACCCGCTGGTGAGAGTGCGGTTGGGAACCTACCCCGGGAGGAGGAAGCCAGGGAGGCTTAGGAACCCCGGTGCACCCAGCAAGAGCTAACCTGCGCCAGGCAGCTGGTCTCCTGGCAGTCTCTGGAAACAAAGGTGTGAGGGGCCTCCTCCTCCTCCTCTAGACCTGAGCGCTGGGGATGCTCAGCCCCTCTGCAGAGCAGCTGTTCAAACACAAGAGCTTCCTCATCCGATGTCCTCCCTTCCCAAACCAGAAAAGCCACAGTGGCAAGGTGCAGGTGCCACCATGGCAGCCACCGCCCGGCCCCAAAGGGACGTTGTAAGAGGAGCCCATAGGTGCCAGCTGCAGGTGGAGCAGAGGAGGGACCACCTGTCTCCACCCCTGGGGCTGACAGGTGGAGAGGCAGTGTTTCCCCTGATCCAGCTGTGGTCCCAGAAGACACGTGACCCTCTTGAGCTTGTATTGAGCATTTGCTGTGGGTGGGCCTTGGATGGGGCCCTTGGGGGCAGCTGTGATAACTGACTCACACTTTGGTTTTCATCTTTATTATTTATTGCCATGATGGGGACTGAACCCAGGACCTCACACATGACGTCTCTGGCACTGAGCCACGCCACAGCCCTGAGGTGCAACTTTGAATAAGGCTTTGTACCTAGCCCAACCATGGCAATACAAGAAGTCAATACGACTCCCAAGCTGGAGAAAGTGCCAGAAAGAAAACAAATGCCTCGAGGGAAAGGATAACGGGGACAGAGACCGATACCAGTGGGCCCAGAAAAATCTTTGAGGGGGTGTTGTTAAGTTGGGACCTCAGGACAAAGAATCAATCCAGAAAAGCATCCAGTCAGAGGGAACAGCACAGGCTGAGAGGCCAGAGGAAACGTGCGGAGTTTGGGATGGGAGCAGAGAGTTTAGTTTAAATACCAGGGCCATGAAAGGGGAAAGAATTTGAGGTTGCAGGGAGAAGATTCCGTGAGGTCTAATGCAAGCCATCCCAAAGAAGTATGGATGGGTTTGTGTACCACACAGGGGTTCCAGTGGCTGAGGGACTGGGGCCATGCTTTTCTGTAATGTGACTGCCTAGAGTGAGGCAATGGGCAGGCCATGGTAGAGCTCAAACTTCATGCTTTTCTTCCAGGGGAAGCCGTGGTGGGTTTGAAGCCGAGAGTTGAGATGTGATTTTTTTTTACTTGTTTGTTTTTTGTCCCGAGACAGGGTTTCTCTGTGTAGCTTTGGTGCCCGTCCTGGATCTCACCCTGTAGCCCAGGCTGGCCTGGAACTCACAGAGATCTGCCTGGCTCTGCCTCCCAAGTGCTGGGATTAATTTAAGTGTGGTGGCACATGCCTGTAATCTCAGCACTCAGGAGGCAGAGGCAGGAGGATTAGTGTAAGTTTCGGGACAGCCTGGTCTACATAGCAAGTTCCAGGACAACCAGGGCTATGTAGAAAGACCTTGTCTCAAAAGTTTCAAAAGAAACTTTTTTTAATTAAGAAAATGTGTATTTTTATTGTGTGTGTGACTTATGTGTTTAGTACAGTTGTATTTGTGCCACAGTATCGGCTCGGTGCCAGAGAACAACTTTCAGGAGCTGTTTCTTTCCTTTTATTGTGGTTCTGGGCATCAAACTCAGGTCGTTAGATGTATATACAATGAGTGCTTTTACCCGCTGAGGCATTTACCCAACCCTGATTTTCTTCCTTTTTGAAACGAGGTCTACTCATGTAGCCCAGAGGTCCACTCATGTAGCCCAGGCTGGCCTAACTTGCTGTGTAGTTAGCTGAACCTAATCTTGACCTCTTTGATCCTCTACCCGCCCCCCACTCCACAGGTGGTCAGGTGCCATCTCTGGGCTTGCTTTTGAAAGGGTCACCTGACCACTGTGTGAAGGACGGTTGACGCGGAGACGGTAAAGAAGTGGGGTGCACACATGGAAGTACTAGCTGTGGGGTGGGGTGTGCCCGGGGAAGGGCCCACGTGGACGCCCTTCAAAGCTACAACTGAATGCTGGCCACCGCGCCGTGGAGTAGGGGCCTTAGGTGCCGCTAGCTTGCTGTGACTCCCCTGTCTGTCACCCCGCAGGCTGTTTGAAGGCGGGTGGGGATACCCTGGAGCTGGTTTGGAACACACTGTATTGAGGGTCCTGTGTACTAGGACTGGCCAGGAGTAGAGCAGTGAATCCAACAGCAAGTCCCTGAGTCCTGCTGTGAGTGGAGAGGAGAGGCCAAACCCGAAACCCATTAAGTCAAGACACTAAGGGCACGGCCACATGTGACCGGGTGGGCGGGCCTTAGGGAGGTAGAGCAAGCACTGAAGGGGTCCCGTGTGGAAAAGCCAACGAAGAGACCTGGTGTCTGTAGCCAGCATCCCGAGCAGCAAGGGGCCCATGAGACGCTCAGGGCTCACGGGAGGGGACTCACATGGGAGGACTGCGTGGGAACACCGAGTTCCAGAAGAATGGAGTGCCAGGAGACCGAACCTGTCACAGGTTGGGTGGACAGTGGCTTCTACTCAAGGCAGACCTCAGGCGCTCTACCCAGGGAGCCAGGCTTTCTCACAGGGACAGTAAGGGACTTTAGACAAGTGGTCCCCCTGTCTGCTGTATTTAGGGAGGAAAGCTTCGGAAATGTACCTGAACAAGAGGGCCAGGTTCTGAAGAGGGTGTGGGGCCTCAGTGCAGGCCAGTACATGTTCATTAAAATCCCCTAGACAATTTCCCCGGCTTCGGGCTAAAAGAAAGATGTAAAATGCAGCCTGTGTGTGTTTGGATGGGGGCTGCACGGTGGAGGTGGAGTCAGAGCTTGCCTGAGCACAGTCCTCCCCCACAGGCAGTTACCACGCGGACACGGATGCAAAAAACCATCAATTTTATACAGTTTGTGGTTCAGAAGCAACATATGCCAAAAAAAAAAAAACAAACGGTGGCACAGTCCAGGCTGCCCCACCCCACCTGAACGAACTCCTTCCTGCTCCCCAAGGAGCACAGGACCCAGGACCACTGCCTGGCAAGACCCACTTAGTTACAGGCCCCTGGAGAGGGGCTAAGCCCTTAGGGGTCAAGGCTGCAGGGGAGTAACCAGCACCTTGCCCCCTGGATACCAACTGGTCCATTGGTGTGTGTGTGTGTGTGTATGTGTATGTGTGTGTGTGTCTGTCTGTCTGTCTGTCTGTGTAGGGCGGGGAATGACCCATGACGGATCTCCTCTCCCCAAGGCGAAGGGTTGGGGAGCAAGTAGAGCTTTTGGAGAGGGCTTCTTGGGACAGGGCCCCCACAAGGCACAACTGACCCAGACTGTAGGCCCGCACAGCCCTCTTTGGTCCCCCAGACCTCTCCCAACTCCCAGTGTCTCCCTCCCCCTGCAGAGATCCTGATGTGGTGTAGGGGAAGGAAGAAAGCAACCGGGCTCCCCTTTTCCTCCGCAGAGACAACCCGTGCACCGACCAGACCGTCGGCCAGAGCTAGCCAAGGACCCTCTCCCGCAGCTTTGGGCTCCTGGGGTCCTTGGGCCGGCACTCGGCACTCCTGCCCCCACTTTTCGCACTGGCTGTTAGGACGAATAAATAAATAAATACCTCCCGCCTGCCCACCCGCGCCCCTACAGCTGGCTCTCCTCTTCCTCCAGGGAGCGGTTGAGTCCGGGGATGAACTTGAGCAGCCGCCGGCGGAAGCTGCGGTACTTGGTCTTGCGCAGGCCGGCGGCGCCGCACAGGGCCTG